ACAAGAACATTAGCAAGTTTTTTTTGGAAAAGTTTTTCTAAAGTTTGTGAATTTTTCTTTTTTTTTCCAATGTTTGTGTATAAAAATAAAATTTTTGAATGAATTTAATTAAAGAAAGTTCATGTTTTTTTACTTTGAAAATATTTTGTTTATTTAGAAACTTTAATTTTTTGTCTTACAAAATAGTTTCGGTCTAAAAAAAAACTTAAGAAAATCAACAAGTTAATAACTTTCCTACTATAATTTTAGAATTTTTTCATAAATTTTAAATTTTCCTCATAGATTTCGAAAAAAATTGTTGGTAAAAATACTTTTTTTTGTTTGACCGGTTTTATACAAGTTTTTTATTCTTTATCTTAAGTTTGCTATTCGAAATATACATTATGTTTAATGTCATCAAGCATTATAGACAACATTCAGTACAGTTTTCAAAAATTCCCAGAAGAGACTCATTCACTTTCATAGATCATCTATAAAGCATATTGAGGGACAAATACTGTGACGCATTTTAATAGCAAAAATGTTACTTTTAATGTTGTAAATTTAATTTAGAACTTCAAATTGAGACGATAATTCTCCGAGATCTTAAAAATTTATTATGCCCCCCCACATGAGCAAGCAGATGAATTCGAGCAAGTTTTCCCAAAAAATATCCCACAACGACATGTCCATACCAGCGAGGGTCTGCTCAGGTCCTTTTCTTATGGAACTCCACACTCATTAAAAGCGTGCAGCGGAGTCCTCTTCCTTTCCGCACTGTACTTGCAAGAGCCGTCAATTCCCAAGCCTAATTTGCTTAGGTGTTTCTTAAGCCTGCAATGTCCAGACAGGAAAACCGTGAAAATCCTCACATTATTCCCCGGCAAACTAATGATCGCCGTACAGCACTCCTAGTTGTAATTATCAAAAATTGTTTTGCTTGCCGAAGCCCTGGGGTGCTCTCCATAGCACCAGTTTTTTCTCCTCCACTTTCCTTCTTAGTACGTGATGGATTTTGCTCGGTCTAATCCCACTAAAGGGCTCCGATCCAGCAAATCGGGAATTTACCTCCCGCTTCACCAGCATATCTCTTTTCTATAATTGAATTTAATTTTGAGTATTATAATTTTCAAAATTACGCCAAAATGTATGCAATATTTCATATAACAAAAATTATTAATTCATACGTAGCTGTTAAAAGAAAAGACTTATTTTTATAATCTTTTGAACTAAGAATACAAACTTTTGTACAAACTTACTTTACAAAACCAACATATATGCTTACAGTATTTCTTGTATACACATAAAAAAATTATTCTATTCTTGCTATGTACGAGTATATAATTAGCATTGCCAAATTTTTATCATATATTATTTAATTTCACTTTCATAAAACACCGCTTAATATTATTATTCTTTGTCGTTTATTTTAGTTTATGTGAATTGAAAATGACATTAAATTGTTATACCATCTATATTGGAGGTAAAGAAATCTAAACCATCATATAGAAATTTTGTTATTTTTCGGAGAAATAAACATAAATCAAAAATAATTTTATTGCTTTCATGCTTAACGCCCCTCTTAAATCTTCAACATATATAAAGGAAATTTACAATTCTTTTTAGAATTACGTGAACATGTCTTTTGAATTTCGGGTACGAACGACAATGATTTTATTCCCAAAACTGAGGTCAAGATAAGCCTCCTTATCTTACAGGTAGTTAGATTGAATTTCGGCCGGATTAAATTTAAGCACTATTATATTCTAGATTTTCACAGTCGAATTTTTTTTTGTTATTGGTTTTCGTGGAGAAAAGTAAGGAAACTTTAATATTTTTGTGGAGGAATCAAAGGTCATATAACATTTTTATGGTAATTAAGCTCACCTTAATTGATTTTGGTATGACCATGTTTTCGACACTTTTACCAACATTTTCTGAAACATCTAAACCGTGATAATTGCGTAGCAGTGGCATAAAATCTTCTCATGATTTGAATTTTAGTTGCATTAATTTTTTTTTCACATGTACTGTACATAATAGTTAATTTATAATGTCCTGAAAAATTAAAGGTTATATGATGGCAATGAATGTAAAAGGAAAAAAAAATTGTTGCAATAAAAATAAACCGAAAAAGTTTTTATTTTTTTTTTTTTTTGACTGAAAATATTTATAAAATGGCAAAAAAAAACTTTTTTTTTAGTCTTAACTTTACCCTCCTGCTGTCTTAAATTTGTCAAGGTTAGCGTTTTTTTTTTCTTCCCTCCGCTGTGTGTTAAATTTTGGTCTTAAATAATGACTGATGTGATGAAATGTTGTGTGTTGCGTTGAGGTTAAAGTCAGACATCAATTAGAATTTGCCATTTTTTTCTTAATTTATTTATTTTTATTTTTTATGAGAGAGGAGGGAGAACGGATTTTTGGAAATATTTTTCTTACTGTTGAATCGTACAATTATATTTAAAAAGAAGCTCGTACGAGGTTCTATAAAAGAAAACAGTGAGTATATTAAAGCAGCTTTGATTTTTCATATTATGTTTTAAGTAAATTATAAAATAACGTGTAACCTTTTAAAGAAATTAAGAAAATATTAGTGAATGATTTTAGATGAAAAGTCCTAAATTTAATATGCGGTTACGTTAATGTTTTGTATTGCGTGCAAAATGTTATACAATAAAAATTTGGAACACATTTTCTTCTCCTTTAATACTTGTATTTTAGGTAAAAAGGCAGAAAAATAGAAAATTATTACCAACTGATTTGCAGTTAAATTGTATATTGAAAAAAATTATTAATTTTCTTTATGTTTTCGCCCGTCAGTGGTAATTTAAATTTGGAAAATTATATGCGAAGTTTTCAGAAGTAATTATGAAAAATTTGTTAGTAATTTTTTTTTCGTTTTAACCTTAAAGAATTTTTCGAAACGTTTAATAGGCAAGTAATAACAACTGTTTTGTATGTGTACATGTTAAATTTATTATTATAAAAAATAATAAGAAATTTTCTCTTAACTCATTATTTGATTAACTAATTCACCACACTCAAATAATTTATCTAACAAAGTAATTTAGTTAAGAGAAAAATTAAACCTAATAATTTTCAAATTGATTATTTTGTTTTAGTTTTTTCTCCGATAGTTAAAAGGCAAGGAAACATTAATAATAATATGTAAAAGCAAGAAGGGAATAAAGAAGAGAGGAAAAAGAAGAAAATTATTTTTTAATGAGCATATATTTAAATTCTCTTGAAAACAAAACAAAAAAAAAACACAATCTGCCATATTTTAGATTAGTTAGATTAAAATCTACAAAAACTTATTTGTAAATGGCATGGTATAATAAGATTTAAAGTAAATTTCAATTTTAGTTTGTAACTAAGTAAAGGTTATAGTATTGTAGTAAAGTTTTATATTAAAAAACGGCGAAAAAATGCATTAAAAATTGTAATGTTTTTCAGTTAAATCTCTAAGTTATTGGTTATTTCAACTTTTTAAGTCACCATTTAAGGAGACGTTAATTATATTGTTTTATGGTATAGTTATTTATAAAGTTATTTACACTGCTTTGGCTAGTAATTTTAATCAAGGCAGTGCTTTTTTAAATTAAAATCAATATGATTTACTGTGTTGGAAAGTGAGTAAATTGAAGAGTACCATTATGGTATATTAAGAGTTTTTGAAATGATTGATTATTACTCATTTATGGTTGTTATAAGTTGGTCAATAGTATTGTGTTTCAAAATCATGTAATACACAATGCTGTAAAAATATTATTAAATTATATTATTTGACTGAAATTGCCAAAAATATTCAATTAAAATATTCAAGAGCTGATTCTTATACTCAGAGGTCAGGCTTTAACCGTACACAAAGTAGTCTATGCACATATCTAACAGACCAAGGTGTCGTATTCAAATTTATTGAATATTCCAAATTAATATTGAATATTAATTTGGATATAATTCTTTGTGTGGAGTAATTCTTTATAATGATTTCAAGACTTGACCCGTTAATTGAAAACATTCATGGACCAGTGAAGACCTCGAATTGTAGTGTACAGATTTGCAATGCGTTTTTCCATGCAATGCGTTTTCATGAGATTACATTGGAAAGTCAAATGAGTCGAAGTTATTCTGACTCGGGTTAGAATCTTTACACTTAAAAGTAAATGTTTTAACGTATAGAGTTTTCATTTTTTTTTTAACATCCAAGCGACAATGTACTTCCATCCAAGTTGGTGTTCACTAACAACCTTGACATTGCTTAAAGTCCGTGGTTTAAAAGCGTAGAATTTTTTATCATCCAAATACACGAACGTAAATACACTTACAAGAGTGTTGCGGTAGCAATTATTAAAAATCTACGAACGCTATGGGTCTGTTCCAGCAATTAAATTATATCTGAATTTGAAGTACGGCTGAATAATTCTTAATATTTAAATTAAATTTTATTAATTGGGTTAAATAGATTCTAGAAAAAAAAATAAGATTCTAGGGTTCATAATTTCAAAATAAAATATAATTTTTTAGATTTTACTACCTTAGTTAATAGACTATGGTTAAGGGTATAGATGCTTTGATTTCTGAATTACGAACATACAAAAAAAACACACATCTTCATTGAAATTTATACTTTGAACGTGAAAAGTGGTTATTCCGATTTTGTTTTATATATAAAAGCCTCTATTTTATTTGTTTGTATGAATTTTTTACAATTTTTAAAGTAAAAAACCCAAAAACAAAAAAACATGTATGAAAATTGGCAAGAAACTAAAAATCCTTTTTTAATCTCATTTCCTTTAAAAAAAAACAAAAATCACATGTTATGATTCTTTTTTTCCTCCACTCTTTTTTCATTTCTTTTCCATCCTTTCCCTAAAAGAATGTGTTTTTTTTTGTTTCCGCCAAAACTTTTTCTTTTTTGTAAATGAGCCACTTTCATTCATACACACAAACAGACACAACACACATACCCAATTTAATATGCAAACTTTTAATTTTTTTTTATATTTTATCTGATTTAGTACCACCGGATATCCTAGATTATCCAACTAGCACGGACATGGTTGTTAGAGAAGGAAGTAATGTAACGCTTAGATGTGCCGCAAATGGTTCACCCGAGCCAACAATTACATGGTAAGTTCTGCTGTTTTTTTTTTTGTTCATTTGTTTTTCTACTTTTTCTCTTTTTTTATAACATTATCTTGTTATGAATTCAGTCCTTACATACATACATTCAAATTAAGTCTATAAAAATTAGTGAAATAAGTACAATGTACAAAGGATATAATATTATATAAAAGAGTTGCTATTAAGGCTCATCAAAATGCTTATAATCTTCTATAATGATCTTAATAAAAAAAAATATTGAAGTAATTTTTTTTGAGAAAAAATTTTTTTCCATATGTTTTTCATTGGTACTTGTGTTTTCATAAAAATTTTCATATTTCATATAAATTTTTATTTTTCTCTCGTTTTAGGAGACGTGAAGGTGGTGAACCTATTGAACTTCCAAATGGTGATTTTGGTATGAAATTTTTTCTAAATGCAAAAAATAGAATATTGATAAAATTTTCATTCTTACTGAAATGTTAAGATTTAAGAAAATCCAATATTTGTGAATCAAATTTGATTTCGTTTTAAAAAATCCATGATAATGATAATCAAATAATTGAAGAATTAAAAATACCAAAATATTATTGCAACGGTTGGTTGACGTGACCAGTGCAGTAGGTCCATCGCACCCAGACTGTAACAATTCCGCCTTTTCGCTACCACCACCCCGTGATCACCAGCTGCGACATGTTGTATTGAAGAGCAATCGTAGCCTAATAGCATGCTACCCTAACGACCAATATTCCGTGTAGATAGCGGTCAGACAGACATTGCTCCCCCAAGAATTATAACTATACTTAAAATATTTAAGATATGTAGTTGTAACGGAAGGGGTTTGGGACCCCGATGGAAGCCTCGCGGTTTTGATTAGCTGCAATACTGAAATTTTCACGAGCTTAGATGTGATACTAGTGCAAGTGAGATGCGAATCACAATATATCGTATGGGTCAATGACAAGGAGCTAGCGGTAGTGGTCACCTAGGGGAGAGCTGGTGGGGAACTAGATTCAAAAGTTTTTGTCTTAAATTTAAATTCGCTACCACTGTAATTGTAAATAAAGTTATATATAAGGAACTGACTTATTCACTACATTTCCAATAATTTTTTTCTTTTAGATTAAAGCATAAAGTATTTAATTGATAATTTTTAAGTCATAATTAAAAACATTGTCATATTATAAAAAAAAAATTAAAATTTATTATCAAATTATTTCTATCGACTAATTTCCATGTATACATAAATTTAATGTGCTAAACATGTGGGAAATTAACTTCCATTGGAATTATGTGGTTTTCATTTTACAAACCATCTATTATAAAATTGTGGTTTTATTTGTTATTTTACTCTATATTAATTCAATTATTACATAAAATTTTTATAATTTATCAAAAGGATTTTAATAAAGTTAATAAATAATTTTTCATTATAGGAAATCAAAATTAATTTTATAATTTTAATTATGACTGCATATATTTATAAATTATTAATATGATTAAATTCTAAAATAATAAAATAAATTTGTGAAATTTCAATTCAATTGTAATTAAATTTGTATAATTAAAAATCTATCACATTATACAGTTGAAAGTGATTTTTACAGAAATCTACACAATGTATGTTACGGGATATACCATAAGGGCTGGCATAACATATAAACTTAAAAAGGAAAATGATTTGAAATTTTTCTTAGAATTCATTCTTTAATGAATCCTGTATTCAACGTCACGTGAATTCTGTTCAACTTATATAATAAAACACGTTATTATTTCATAAATTACAACAATAAAGAAAACAAAAAAAATAATAAGATAGGAAACAATTATAAAATGAGTACAAAAAAATGAAAATGCATAGCTGACAACAATGTAGTTCAGTAGTATAGTGGCAAGACTACGAAAGCTCACAATGTGTTTTTGTAAACTCCCATTGTATTTGTAGTAAAAATTTATGCTTGTTTGGAGTAATAATTGCGGCCAACTAGACTTTAGTATTTTTGATTTGTAATACGCAGAAAGCCTCACATCGAACTGAGGAAGAAATGGAATTTCATTGAATATTTGCGGATTTCTCAATATTGGGCTCAGGGCATTTCGGATCAATCGGTCAATCGATTACTAGCATGCCTGTAAAAGAAGGGCTATAAAATGAACGCTGAAGATTCAGCCTACGCTGAAGATTTGACCTTAGCTGTATCTTGGAATCACCTTGATATCTTAAATGGGCTGATGCGGAGGACTTTAAACCTCGTCTCTGAATGGGCTCTTGGCTTCGGGCTGACTGTCAACCCACAACAACGGAACTAGTTATTTTTAGTAGGAGATACAAGGTACCCAACATTACTTCGTCACCACTCAACGGAATCCGCTTTTCCTTTAACTAGGAGGCTAGGGTCCTGGGTCTAATTCTCAGTTCGAAACTAAACTTGAAGTCTAACATTATGGAAAGAGTAAGGAAAGCAACTATTACGCTTTACTCATGTGCCATCGAAAGAACTAGGGCCTCAGACCCAAGATGGCTATACATCGCGTTGATGGGACTGGATTTGATGTACGGTGCTCCAGTATTGTGGCTAGCGCTCCCCCCAGCTGTGAACTTTAGGTTGATAAGCAAAATTCAAAGAATGGCAGTAGTGTGTATTGTTGAGGCGTTATACTCCAACCCTGCTCAGGCTCTTGAAAGTCTCTTCCATCTGCCGTCATTAAATATACTGGGCCGGCTAATGGCTGCGGAATTCGCTATATGGCTGGGAGCCGCCGTCTTAATGTGAACCTGCGGGAAACGCTTCGATTTTTGCGAAATAGGGACTAGTGGTAAAGATAACTGCTTGCTTCTGTTTCTCCTCTTTTGATTTACGAAGAACTTTAGGACTTCGATGTAAATCAAAATATTTTTAACATTGATTTACTTACACATTCAACCCTGATATGATAACCTTTCTATATAATATAATGAAAGGTCAGTTAATTCGTAATCATTCTACAAATTTAATTTCTTATATTTCTAAAAAAAAAGATGAAGAAAAAGTGCAATGAAATCGTTTTAAGTATAACTATTTCACAAAAATTAACCGTATCAAGGATATTTTTTTTGTTTTCATTATTATTTTTGTTGCGGTTTTCTAAATATAATTACTTCAAAACATGATAACAGGAAGCGGTTAGAATATTTTCAAGGAAAATCGCAAATTATAGAGAAAAGAGTTACAGTCTTACAGTTTTTTTTAAATAAGTATTAAATTTCTATCGTAAAAAGTAGAAATAAATTTTTTTATTTTTTGATTTAAAGAAAATAAGTGTTTTTATTACAGGTTATTCTTTACGTTTACGTGTTTATCGTATATGCAATTGATTGTTAGAAAAATGGAGAAAAAAAAATTTATTTCTAATGGACTTTTCTTGCTGCGGTAAAACGTGAATTGCGGGTTTTTTGCTTTTCTAATTCCTAGAGATATTCTCCTTCCCTTTCTAAAAAAAAATTAAAGTGTAAATTGGGCTAATTACCTTTATTTGTCCGTTTGCTTTCAATTTATTAAATTACATTTTCTTCGGTAGAACGTAGAAAATTTTCCCCGTGTCACTTTTTCGAAAGAGTCAGGTATCACTTCTATATAGCAGAACCAATTTAAAACAGCTATTGAATATTCTTAGCTTCGTTGATCTCACTAAATCTGCTGATTTTCACATCCAAAGTCGCCTTAATACCATTCTTGCCATATTAATTCTATTTTTGATTATTTTGTCTCCACTTTCTACCCCCTACGAAAGGGAGAGGGGGGAGATAGAATTTGAAATTACCAAGGTAACTGAAACAAGTAACAACTACTATTCGGCAACTACAAAGCTTTTCCTACATTGTTTTCTAGATGCGTAGTGACCTACATTGTTTTCATTGATGCGTAGTGATTTTTTGGGCCGTTCTCCTAATTTAGCCAATCTTATACTCATGTCACCGAATGTTGAAATACAGCAGAACTATATAGGCCTACACAGTTCTTGCGATTAATTAGAAACCATTAAATAAAAACGAAAAAAAACATATCTCTTGGAAAAGTTAATATTTTTCTCATCCCCTCATCTAGCATGATTGAACAGGCGAAAGTTTCCATCTCTGTCGTTGAGTTCCTCACTGGTGCTTGTATTACTTCGTTAATTAGCGTGGTTGTTTTGTCAGTAATACCCCTATCCAGTGAATTCATCAGGAATTCAGTCTATTGAGTGTTCTCCGAAAATATATTTATTTATACTCATATTTTTCATTCAAGGGACATGTGCTCCTCTCTTAAATAGTCTACTCTAATTGTATTTTATTTCATAATTTTCTAAATATTAGAAATAAAGTTTAAATTTTACCGTTAGAATATTCAAAAAAAATTTGGAGAGTGAGTGATATTATTATATCATGAATTTGTTAATTCAGTAAAATGTAAATTACTTTGAGCATAAAGTATAGATGAATTAAAAAAATTATAAACTAAAAGATGTCTAAAAAAAATTTATGGAGTGTTTAGATCCATTTTTGTTAGGTTATAAAGTACTTTACAAGTTTTTTGATATTGAAATATGTTTAGTTTGAAAATTAATTTTTGAGAGTTCCGTATAGAAAATGCTTATGTGTTAAAATTATCATCACGCCTACTTATCAGGCAAAGGCGACATCGGCTGTTTAATGAAATTATTTTCAAAGAAATATCTTTCAAAGCTTTTCGGCCCCCTTATAATATCTACTGAAAATACATTGAGAATGAGAACGTAATTGAAATTGTCACACTGAAGAATAGATAGTGCTTTATGTAACACATAACAATATATTGAGAGTCTCTTATTAAAATAGCATTTTAATAAATTAAAGATCATAATATTCAAGCCAACTATATGTATAGTACTATGCTCTATTATTTTCTGTCGGTGTTTGATAAGTAACTAATATATTTCTTAATGACCTTACTAATAAATAAAAAAATGTCCATCATACGCAACGTATATGAATATTGATTTTGACCATTCCATTTTTTATTGAAACCTTTGTACATTTTGTTTAAATAACCTTTGACTAAATCCTGAATTACACAACCTTCAGTGAATATTTATTGATTTTTTTATAATCTCTTGTAAGTACATAATGCATACTATATAAATGTATACATATATATATACATATATGTATATATAGAAATTAATGCGTGGATGCTTTTTAAAATGAATTTAACCACAAAACCATTCTAATATTCTTTTTCACTAAAAATAAAAATTTCTCTTTATTTTTTCTATTTATTAATTCCATGCAAAGCTGGTTTGAAATATAAAAATTAATTTTAACGGTAACCTTAATGCACTAGCTGTATACAGTTTTATTATCTGTATTATAGCGATTCGAAAATAAAAAAATAGAAGAAAGAATAGAGAAATTTAAGG